AGGCCCCTGGGTTGGGGAGAGCCCCTGGAAAAGGAAATGGCGATGCACTCCAGTATTCTTGCCTAGAAAATTCCATGGACAGAGGAATCTAGTGGGCTACAGTCCATGCAGTCACAAAGAGTCAGACACGATTGAGGAAGCATTCACACACACACATCATCTATGAAGTATTCTTGTGTAAAACATGGGAACCATAATCTAATCACACTTCAGTATACATGTATCTATTGCAGGGGACAAACATATTAATGGCCTCATAGAGATGCAATCTCTATGGACTATACAGTCCATGGAACTCTCCTGGCCAGAATACTGGAGTGGGTAGACAGGAACATCTGAACACAGATGAGATAGTTTATGATATTCTGAAATTATTTTTAACTTTGTTATGTGATGATACTGTGGTTACATTTTTAAAACAAAATATATAATACATGAAATTGTATAAAGTCAGGTATTTGCTTCAAAACTATCAGGTGCGAGGAAGAACTGAGTGAGGATACAGAAGAAACAATATTGTCTAAAGACTTGAGTCTGTGTCATGACTATGCCAACTGAAAAAAAAAATGATGTAAAAGCAGTGGGTTTCAGTTTTATTGGGGGGACCTTACTGAGGACAGCAACCCAGGAGACAGCCTTTCAACCCTGAGGAACTGCTCTGAAGAAGTGGGGGAGGAGCTAGTTTATGTATGAATTTTTTGCAGGAAAATGCATGCAGTCAAGCATCCATCTTGGTAAAAGGTTACTGATAATCGCACACAAAAAAACACAGATCTCTCAAGTTAATGACTTTAGTGTTTTTCTATGAATGTTAAGATGCAAGAATCTGGGGTAGTTAAAACTCTTCTTTAGACATGCATCTTAACCATCTAGATGCACAAAACACAGAAAGCTTCCCCCCATTTTTCTCCACCCAGAATTCTCCTCCTGTGTGCTCTTGGTGGGAGACTGCAGGGAGTTTCTATTTAACCCTTTGCTATCAAGGTGACATTCTTTGTTCAAGGTGGTCTCTTTGTTTACAGGTACATGGAAGTTCATCATAAAGTTATATATGCTTTTTTATAGTTTAAAATAACCAAAAAACTCAAGCCTATACATTTACTGGGCTTCCTGGTGGCTCTGTGGTAAAGAATTCAACTGCCAATGCAGGTAACATGGGTTCAATCCCTAGGTCAGGAAGATGCCCTGGAGAAGAAAATGGCAACCCACTCCAATATTCTTGCCTGGGAAATCCCAAAGACAGAGGAGCCTGGTGAGCTACAGTCCATGGAGTCACAATGGTCTGACACAACTTAGCGACTAAACAGCAACATACATTTACCACTGTGTACAGTTTGGGTACCTCTAAAATATTTCAGCCATGAAATAAAAAGACGCTTACTCCTTGGAAGGAAAGTTATGACCAACCTACATAGCATATTAAAAAGCAGAGACATTACTTTGCCAAAAAAGGTCCATCTAGTCAAGGCTATGGTTTTCCCAGTGGTCATGTATGGATGTGAGAGTTGGACCGTGAAGAAAGATGAGTGCCGAAAAATTGATGCTTTTAAACTGTGGTGCTAGAGAAGCCTCTTGAGAGTCCCTTGGCCTGCAAGGAGATCCAACCAGTCCATCCTAAAGGAGATCAGTCCTGGGTGTTCATTGGAAGCACTGATGCTGAAGCTGAAACTCCAATACTTTGGCCCCCTGATGCGAAGTGTTGACTCCTTGGAAAAGACCCTGATGCTGGGAGGGATTGGGGGCAGGGGGAGAAGGGGATGACTGAGGATGAGATGGCTGGATGGCATCACAGACTCGATGGACATGTATTTGAGTAAACTCGGGGAGTTTGTGATGGACAGGGAGGCCTGGAGTGCTGCGATTCATGGGGTCTCAAAGAGTTGGACACGTAGAGCGACTGAACTGAACTGAACTGACTGAAAATATTTCAGAGATCAGGGAGAAGGAGAATTGTGATGGTTTCCCATTAATTATTATTAATGGGGCAATATATCTTATGTTCACAAAATAGTTCTTGGAAATTCAAAGAATACAGATACTACAAAACAAAACAAATTCTAGTCAGTAATTTTAAATTAAAATATATTACAAATGAAGTGATATGACTTCATAAATGTGCTTCCAAGTTATCAGGGATGGGAGGCAGATACAGAAGTAATCAGATTAGCTATGAGTTGAAAATTGTTGAAGCTAAGGGATATCTATATCAGTGCTCACAATTCTAGTCTCTCTACTTTTGTAAATGGCTGAGACCTTTCATTATTTTAAAGGTTTTAAATAAAACTTAAAAAGTGGCTGAATTAAAAAGTGCTAAATTTCCAGCTCTGCAAAATTTGGCGCTGCTTCAGGACAAGTTTAATGAACTGAATTCTCTTCCACAATGTAAAAACAAAGTTACACAACTAACTTTGTGCCTGGTGACTTCAAGCAAACACCGTAACATCCTTTGCCCTCCCAGAAAACACAGATACCCATGAGGGTTTGGGATTATATCGTACTTCCAAGCTAATAAGAGACTGTTACTATTTTATGAATATTGGCAGGGGGCAGGAGACTCCTAGGTCATAGAAAAACTTGATTACTCAAGGCACAGCAAGCGGCACAAGTATCAAGTCCTTGCCTCGGGTCCCATAGGAGTGAGTGACATGGAGGAACCCAGAGGATGTAATACATACAGTAGGTTTGTGCTACAGTACATCCTCTGGGCTCTTCCACGTTGTTCCCTCCCATGGGACCACTCCAGTTCTCTTGCCTGGAGAATCCCATGGACACAGGAGCCTGTCAGGCTACGGTCCATAGGGTCGTAAAGAGGTGGACATGACTAAAGAGACTGCACGCATGCACGCATAGTGATAGCAAAGTCTGCACTTTGAACTCACATGCACCCATGATCCAGACTCAACAATCATAAATTCTCAGACAATACTGTTTCATCTATAGTCCCACTCAATTCTTCTCACCTAGTAATTCTGAGGCAAATGCCTGACCTTATATAATTCTAACAATCTCCGCTCTCTGTAAACACCACCCTGAGGAACGGCATGTGTGAACAGCAGTCAGGGCCTTGTGTTCTTGGCATCCTCAGCACAAATGTGCAGGGGCCGTGGAAGATTGCCTTCCCCGTCGATCCACCTGTTGTTCCTCCATGTCTCGACTTCTGGCAAAAATCACAGAAGTATGCCACACTGTTGACCACGCTCATTAATCTAACCAACAGCAGCTAGAATTAAACCAGTTCAAATGTTCTCATACAGCATTTAATCAAGGCTTCTATCAATAGGACTCCAAAGTCAAGATAAAATTAACCTGCAGTATTGACTTAAATATGCCTTCCAGGACCCAGGCAACTGTCCTCGGGGAGACCAGGGATTTTATTTCAGTCACGATGTAGTCTAGTGTAAGGCTGTCTAGTATCGACTACAAGCCATGAGAGTTTACACTAACCTACAGATCTTTGGGGTCATTACCAACAATTACAGAAGGCAATAGGTAAGCAAAAAAAAAAAAAAAAAATCAAATCCCAATGGAGAAATAGCCTATGACCCAGTTCCAGCCACATGCAAACATATAACCCAAATGGCCACAGGTAATTCCAATCAAGTTTTTCATTGAACCTGATGTGATGGTTTAGTTGCTAAGTTGTGTCCAACTCTTACAACCCTATGGACTGAAGCCCGCCAGGCTCCTCATCCATGGGGTACTCCAGGCAAGAATGCTGGAGTGGGTTATCATTTCCTTCTCCATAAACTTGATTTGGATCAGCTTTAATGTTGGTTACATCACATAGGCAGTGTTATAAGTGGTTGTAGACTCCATTTCTGTACACAGCATAACCAAAGACCTCTCAAGGATCAGAAAAGCACGTGAATTTATAACAGTCAGAATGAAACAAGGTCGTACCTGCTTAAAGGGGGGTCCATGTGAAGAGCTGCTACTGATGACAGCAGGAGTATCTGTCATCAGGCAGAAGAATTCAGGACCAGCCATGCCCACAGAATGGCAGCTGCAGTTGTTATTTGACTCCAGTGGTAGTGGTGGATCTACAGGACAAAGAGATTATTAATTGTCCCCACCCTCACACATTTTGGGCCTGAAGTGTTCCCACCAGAGATGCCAGGGTTGTTTAATCTACGCGTACTCCAAGTGGCAGGCCAGATAGTAGACTAGTTAGCTAAATCGTTGCCAAAATCCCAAGGATTAGTTAAAAAAAAAAAAAATTTCATCAAAAGGAGTATTGACCAGAGTTATGAGAATGGCCTTGAGTTCTGCCCACTGAGTGGACAACCACACCAGTTTTCAAGCTGGCGTATATTGAGCAGCAATTGAACATCGGAAGCAGCCCAGGGGGCGCTAACAGGATGCAACTTAGCCAAACCATCAGTGAACCAGGCATTAAGATGAACCTCTGTGAACAAAGGGCCCCAATAAACTGATGGATTTACTTCAGGTGGTACAATGGAGAATAAAGTGTCTCCAAGGCAATGAGAGAGTTAACTTAGACAGGTTGATAAGGAGTCCAAGCCTAAGGCCCTTTAAGGAGGTAGCAAACATGCTTTTTCTCATTATTTTGCCTTAGACAAGTAGGGCTTGTAAGCAGCAATATCTCTTGTTCAAGGACATGCCTTTTTTTTTTTTTTTCCTTTCTGGGCTTTGGATGAATGTTATGGGAGAAGGCCTGGGTAAAACTTCCAGGGCCTTGAGCTCAGGTTAACCTGTTCCTTCTAGCTAATCTCGTGCTGATGTCACCCCAGGATGTATGGTACAGGAAAGGGCCTGGGTGCAACTCTCGCAGCCTTGAGGTATTTTTTTTATCTATTCTCAGCAGCTAGTTGAGAAGTATATAAGGCCCTGCTTAAACTAGTGAGGCAGGTACTTGCCAGCCCCCTTCTGATGTCTACATCAGAAGCTTTTTCTGTCACTTTCACTTTAAATAAAATCTACACAAAGCATTGAGTGACTGAGACTGTCTTTGGGGAGTTAAATATTCTCCTTCAGAAACCATGAATTCAGCAGCACCATTCACCGTAAGCTATCAGCAATAGCTGCCATTTTTTCAAATAAACTAAGATACTGCTGGGGCCAGGCCACTGTATCCTTGAACATACAATCTCCATTTAACAAGTAAGTAGACCAGACTTTTTCCTTGTTGTCGTTAAGTCGCTAAGTCATATCCGACTCTTTTTTGCGACCCCCACGCACTGTGGCCCACCAGGCTCCTCTGTTCGTGGGATTTCCTAGGCAAGAATACTGGAGTGGGCAGCCATTTCCTCCTCCAAGGAATCTTCCTGACCTAGGAATCAAACCCACATCTCCTGTATTGCAGACAGATTCTGTACTGATGAGCTACCAGGGAACTCCTACTTTTTCCTTATTGGTTGTCAAGTCTGAGCTAGCTCACCCAGGAATGTGGACATCAGGTTGCAGAGGCCTAAGCCCTTCACGTAAGGACCAGGCTTTCATCTTCAACCAGCACTTGGCAACACATCCATTGCTACTCCCCCTTTTAAAAGGGGCGTACCTAGTGCCCACATCCGGCAGGTGGCGCTATTGTACCAGGAAACTGCCTTTCCAAACTGCCACCTCTTAAATCCTTAAAGCTGTAATTTCCATTTCCTCTCAGATTTTATATTATTTTGCAGGACAGCTGGAAAGAGAACAGAGATTGCCTCTCTACCCGCCACAGTCCCTGAATGCAAGAATCCTTTCTGGACCTCACGTGCATTTACAATACAAGTAGGTACAACATAAATATCAAGTATATGTTCAACCATAAAATTGCTCCTTGGAAGAAAAGCTATGACAAACCTAGATAGTGTATTAGAAAGCAGAGGCATCACTTTGCCAACAAATGTCCATATAGTCAAAGCTATGATTGTTCCAGTAGTCATGTGTGGATGTGAGAGGTGGACCATAAAGAAGGCTGAGCACTGAATAATTGATGCTTTCAAACTGTGGTGTTGGAGAAGACTCTTCAGAATTCCTTGGACTGCAAGGAGATCAAACCAGTCAACCCTGAAAGAAATCAGTCCTGAATATTCATTGGAAGGACTGATGCTGAAGCTGAAGTTCCAATACTTTGGCCACCTGATGTAAAGAGTTGACTCACTGGAACAGACCCTGATGCTGGAAGAGATTGAAGGCAGGAGAAGGGGACAACAGAAGGTGAGATGGTTGGATGGCATCACCGATTCAATGGACATGAGTTTGAGCAAACTCTGAGAGACAGTGAAGGACCGGGAAGCCTGGGGTGCTGCAGTCCACGGGGTCACAAAGAATCAGACACAACTGAGCAACTGAACAACAACAGTATGTTCAGCAATGAAAGACTTATTACAGATCATTATCCAGAAAAAAACATTAAATAAGTCAGTAGCAGCAGACTCAGAACAGTGATATGACTGTGATATGATTTCTAACACCTCCATCCCCAGGACGGAGAGCATCTTTACCTGTGTGCACCTAAATTACAGGACTGTAACAGGGAACTCCAGACTGTCAAACAGGGAGACACAGGCCTGAAAATAAATGAATAAGGAATTTTAGACCATATGGGAACAGACCAAAGTTCCCTCCTGGAACATTTAAATTCTTCTTCTTGTCTGCAAAGAGCTAGTAACTTCTAACCTGAGAGTATCCAGTGATTTCATTTAAATAATTATACACTCTAAAAATTCATTTATTGGCTGTGCTGGGTCGTCATTGCCGCATGAGGGTTTTCTGCAAAGGTTACTCTCTATTGACAGTGCATGGGCATCTCACTGCGGTGGCTTCTCTTTTGCTAGAGCATGGACCTCAGTAGCTGAGGTGCCTAGGCCCAGCTGTCCTGCAACATGTGGGATCTTCCCAGACCAGAGATCAAACCCATATGCCCTGCATTGGCAGGCAGATTCTCAACCACTGGATCACCAGCAAAGTCCTAAACAAATACATTTGGTTACACAGACTGTCAAGCACAAGCTCCAGAATAAGACCAGCCTTTCATCAAACCCTAACATCACCATTTACAAGTTACGTGACCTGAATCATACAGTCACTCTGAATCCCAGTCTCCTCAGTTGCAAAATGATACCAATGCCTTCAGCTCAAAGAGCTGTTGTGGAGTCAATGGGACATTTAACCACATTTGGCTTTTATTATTAACTTGGTTGAGGGGAACAGTGCTTAATTGAAAAGCAGATGGCCAGGGAATCCTAGTTCCCTGGCAAAGCAGCTCAAGAATTCAGGCACTTAGGTGGTAAGAAAGAGAGCACAAAAATTAAGACTTTGATAGGTGTGGAAGGGCATGGCAGTGGTATTTGTGGGGGGCCAAGATGAGCCCAAGAACTGCCTTTTGTTGTTATGAACATAGCATTTTTTTAAAAACAGGAGCAGAAAACATTTATTTCAAACTTCCTCTGGTATGAGGAAGACACACATTCAGTGATGAACTTAGGCATTCTTGAGCCATTGTGCCGGACTCTTTGCAACCCAATGGAATTCTCCAAGTAAGAATACTGGAGTGAGTGGCCATTCCCTTCTCAAGGGGCTCTTCCTGACCCAGGTATCAACCGGGGGCCTCCTGCTTCGCAGGCAGATTCTTTACCATCTGAGCAACCAGGGAAGCCCAGGAATTTAGGAGGGACCACCTTATACTTCAATCATTGCCATACAGATATCTCCCCCTCTGCTATGCTAGAGCACACGGAAGAATATGCAGGCCAACATACTGCACAGAGCTGAGGGCAGTAAGCAGTCTGAGTGTCTATGTGCCAGGCTCCCTGTTCAGGGTGATGAGCAAACTGACGCGGCCCCACCTTCGTGGACAATATGTCTCCAGTAGCAGCTCCCTGGGGCCGATCTGTGGACCTGCTGGAGCAGGACCTCCTGCAGTGTGCTGGGTGCTTGGACTCTGAGCTCAGATCCCACTCCTCACCTCATTCTACGAGGTGGGGATGCAGGAGGCTGTATTTTTTTTTTTATTAGTTGGAGGCTAATTACTTTACATTATTGTGGTTTTTGTCATACATTGACATGAATCAGCCATGGATATACATGTATTCCCCATCCCGATCCCCCCTCCCACCTCCCTCTTCACCGGATCCCTCTGGGTCTTCCCAGTGCACCAGGTCCGAGCACTTGTCTCAGGCACCCAACCTGGGCTGGTGATCTGTTTCACCACCTATATATATACCCATATACATGGGAGGCTGTATTTTTAATGCTTACTCTGGTGATCCTAACACACAGTCTGGGAAACGCCATTGGTGTTACTCAAAGGGTGGTTAGACCCTCACACTCAGTCTCGAGGCTTGAAAGCTGCCATCCCAAACTGCCTTTTTCTCTCTTTGGCCTTCCTGCACAGCATCCAGGATCGTAGTTCCCAGTGAGGACTCGAACCCTTGCCCCCTGTGGTGGAAACACAGTCTTAACCACTGGACCACCAGGGAAATCCTTAGACTGCCTTTCTCTTGCACCACTTCCTTTCTATTAGATAATATGTGGGAAAATGCGTTATGAACTACAACGCAAGGTGCAGAAGTGGTGTCTAGTTTTTAGGATGGCCCAATTTACACACATAACTAAAGTCACGGTGAAGTATGATGAGGCATTCCTCAGAACTCAATAGGTCTCCAACCAAAGCCTTAGGATTCCCTTTAGAGTAGCAGAAGCTTCTCTCAGGTAAGGCTGTTACCTCACTCAAGGCCCTTCTGCCACTGGCCCCTGGAGCAGATCCACAGTGCCTGGGCAGTTAGCACACCTGGATGGCTTCCTCTCTGAAGGCCCTTCAAGTCTACACACTCCTCTGGGCCACTGGCAGAATCTTCTGTATCATGACAGAAATATATATCAGGTGAACTTTGTACGAGTCTAGTGATGTGGTTCGAAACCCCGTAAATGTTTAGCTTTCTCAGGACACGATAAAAGATCCCGGATGTGGGAGTCAGGATGAAGAAGAAACTGGATGGGTGGGAGGGGACAGACAGATGGCAAGAGAAGACACTGAACTGCCACTTTAGACGGGAAGTATGGCAGGGGCCTTGGGAATACTCAAGTGCTAATGCTCCGCAAATAGCTGCTGTCAAAGAGTGCGGAGATCTGAAGACAGTCAGTCAATGATGCAGACAGAGCAGACTTTAGCTGGAAGTCTTCACAGAGAGAAAATAGATGATGACGACTTCATCAGTGTATGGAGTTACATGTAAAGTGAGAAGAGAAAGGGTGAGCTGAAAGAGCCTAAGAAAGAGGGACCAAAAAAAAAAAAGAAAGAGGGACCAAATTAAGAAGAGGTGAATCACAAGAGTAGAAGCCTCTAAAGCCAAAAGGAGGTCAAAATTTTAAGGAAAGACCTGTTACCAGTATCAAACACCACAGAGCAGTCAGCAAGGGCAAGAACAGAAGAGGGGTCACTGGGTTTTGCAATCCACACATCCCTGGTGACAGGCCCAAGAGCAAAAGAGCAGGGTGATGTAGGAATTATTTCCTTCACAGTTTTGGCCAGAGCGTTTACTAATAAATCTCAATTCCTTTTATGGTTCTGATTTAATTATTTCCTGTCAAGGATTACCAGTTCTCCTATTACATGTATGTTAACACTGAACATTAGGAAATTTTGCTTTGTGAAGGGCTGCCTTGGTTAAGAATCAAAATTTAGCTGGATGTCTTTTCTCCCTACCTCAGCCTTCCCCACATACCCTCTAAGGGGACCCCAGTCCACTCAAGGGAAGTTTGCTCAATGAATGTGAATGGAAACAGTTTAGAAACTGGGTAGGAAGAAAGTCTTCTCCCATATAGAAAAAATATAATGCTTGTTATGTGTGTGTGTGCTCAGTTACCCAGTTATGTCCAACTCCTTGTGACCCCATGAACTATGGCCTGCCAGGCTGCTTTGTCTGTGGGGATTCTCCAGCCAAGAATACCCGAATGGGTTGCCATTTCCTCCTCCAGGGGATATTCCTGACCCAGGCATTCAACCCACATCTCCATCTGCATTGGCAGGTGGATTCTTTACCACTGAGCCACCTGGGAAGCAATGTCTACTATACAGTAAATATGTCCTTCTTCAAACTTGAATATAATAGCAGTAGTGTTAGTTGCTCCACCGTGGTGACTCTGCAACCCCATGGACTGCAGCCTACTGGGCTCCTCCGTCCATGGGATTTTCCAGGCAATAATACTGGAGTGGGTTGTCATTCCCTCCTTCTCCAGGGGATCTTCCCAACCCAGGGTTATGAACCCATTTTTCTTATGTCTCCTGCATTGGCAGGTGGGTTCGTTACCACTAGCCTCACCTGGGAAGCTGAAAATGCTGCATTACACAGGTTGGCCCCTATGGGGATAGTCACTACTTATTCATTCTATAAGCCGTATATCCATATACTCAAGATAGAAAACTAAAGATCTAATCAGTCAAATTTGCCTGAGCAGGCGCAAATCCAACCAACCTATAGAAAGTAGGTGCAGTGACCAAGGCCTTCTGAGTCAACTCAGTCATTTCTCTGACTTCTGACAGGTGAATAGCCTGCATTAGGAAGTGTTAGACATTAAAAATAGGAAAAAATTAAACACTGAAACTTTTCACTCCGTAACCATGGAAACTTCGAAGTCTTGGCAGTCACTCGGCTCGCTTTGCCAGGCGCTAAGGTGGGGGCGGGGTGGGGGCAAAAGGGAGACAGGGGAGGTGACCACGTACCGGGGTGTCGGACAGAGAAACCTCCACAGTGATGGTCAAATCACTTTTAAAAGCTGCATTTCTAACCTGCCCCTTCAGCTCCCTCCCAGCAAGCTGGGCAGTCACACGCCACGCCCAAGAGTGAGCGTGTCCCCGGCCTGGGGCCACATGGGAGGATCCCGTCCGGAGGCGGCTTCCTGCCGCTGACCCCCAGCTACCCGGCTCCCTCCCGGGCGAAGTCTCCCCGCCCTCAGGCCCCGCCCCGGCCACGCCCCTCGGCTGGCGGCCCGCGCTGACAGGGGGCGGAGCGGCGCGGGCCTCTGGACTCTAGGCGCTCCGGGGAGAGCGCCCCCAGCCTGGTTCCCCGCGCCAGTCGGAGTCCGCCGCGCACTCTGCGGTGAGTACGACTCGGCCCTACGCGAGTCCCCGGGCCCGAGCGCCGGCCGCCCTGCCGCCGCGGGGGAACGCGGGTCAGCGGAACCCCGATCCGCCTCCCCGAGCCGGGCGGCAGCGCGCCGGGCCGCCCAAGGGAGACCTGGGGGAGCTGGAAGGCAGCCGGGAGAATCGGGACTAGTTCCTGGGGACTGACCCCTCCGCCCTGTTCCCAGCCTGTGCCGCGCCGAGCACGGGGGCGGGACTGGAAATGGCTCTCCTCGGCCTCCTTCGCCCGGGCTGTGCCGGCCGCCGGGAGAGTCCGCGCCGAGCTGTGAGGGCCTCACCCGGGACTCGGCGAGGCTCTGGGGGCCGCCGGGAGAATCCACCCTGCGATTTGTCCCGACACACTGAACCGGGGAGTCCTGCCCCCAAGGAGGGTGTGCGGGCCTCGCCGGGGAGTCCTCGTCCAGCTGGGGGTGGCGAGGCAGGCACATTTCCCACTGGGGTTCCGACGGATCAGGGAGTCCACACCAGGGGTAAGGGGGAGATGGGGTGAGGGGGAAGAGACCCTCGGTGGGAGGGGTGGGGACGCAGTCCATCCTAAAGATTCACAGACCCAGGGAGGAGTGAGTGAGTGAGTGAGTGAGTGTGTGTGTGTGTGTGTGTGTGTTGCGGGGATGGGGGCAGAGAGTCGGAAACAGCCTCTCAGCAGTGGGGACAGAGTCCATCCTAAAGATTCACAGACCCAGGGAGGAGTGAGTGAGTGAGTGAGTGTGTGAGTGTGTGTGTGTGTGTGTGTGTGTGTTGCCGGGATGGGGGCAGAGAGTCGGAAACAGCCTCTCAGCAGTGGGGACAGAGTCCATCCTAAAGATTCACAGACCCAGGGAGGAGTGAGTGAGAGTGTGTGTGTGTGTGTTGCGGGGATGGGGGCAGAGTCAGAAACAGCCTCTCAGTAGTTCTCAAACTCCCCTATACACTCTTTAAAAATTAGTATATTAAGGAGCTTTTATGTGGGTTATGTGTCTCAATATTTATCACATATAACTAAAACAGAATTTTTCAATATATTTAGTATCTCATTTAAAGATAGTGGTAAAGAATCCACCCGCCAGTGCAGGAGACATAAGAGATGTGGGTTTGATCCCTGGGGTGGGAATATCCCTTGGATATGAAAATGGCAACCCACTCCAGTATTCTTGCCTGGAGAATCCCATGGACTTAGAAGCCTGATGGGCTGCAGTCCGTGGGGGCAGCAAAGAGTCTGGTATAACTGAGCGCACAGACAGGCATGCATTAGATGTTGATATGTGTTTATGAAAATAACCATACCTTTCAAAATTGAATGTTACTGAGAAGAGTGTCATTGTATTATATTTTTGCAAATCTCTTTCATATCAGTTTTAATAAGTAGCAGCTAGGGTTCTTATGTCTTGCTTCTGCATTGTCTGTTGCGGTATTACATGTCATATCACTTCTGGAAAACTCCACTGTGTACTCCTGAAAATGTGCGAGTAGAAGCCGCAAAGAGCAGCTTGGTATTCTTATGAACGTGGTTTTGACTTTCTGAACCCTAGAGTCCGCTGCACCACACTTTGAGAACCACTGGAGCAGGAAATACTTCAGGGGCTTAAGTCATTGATCCCGCGTCTTGTTTGTGATCCTTCCTCTGAATGGGAACAGGCATCACCCCAAGGAAGGATGGTTAACCTCTGGTAGCTGCAACCAAGCTGACCTCACTCTGGAAACCCAAGTACTGTGTCCCCATGTAGGAGCTAATGAGCCCTGCACGCCTCCTGAAAACTGGCAAGGCCCTCAGATGCCTTGGGTTATTTCTGTACCTGCAGAGGTGGCCTGTGTATGCCTTCAGATCATAGCGGGGATGTGGCACACAGGACCCATGCCTTCAGAGACATGCCCATGGGGAGCCAGTGCCAAGTGTGGAGGAGTTGGTCCAAGAGCTTCCAAGTGGGTCGGAAGTGCTTTTGAAGAGAATAGGGAGGCATGTTGTTGCCTCCCTTTCCTCTGTGATCACTTCTGTGTGTGCTTGCGCAACCTTGCATTTATTGGAATATGGTTTCCCAGTCTTGGTGCTCTTTCCCTTTCCACTTTTGGGGGTGGGAGGTGTTTGTCCCTGTGGGTGGCCCTCCCTCAGCCTCTGCCAGAGCCCGGTGTCCTGCAGGCTGCTGTGTGATAGGTGGGGACCCCTCATTGGATTTCTTCCTTGGCTTCTTGCTCTGTCAGCACAAGTTCCAGATAGAAATTAGGTAATATATAGCCTCATAAGAGCACCCTTGTGGCTCAGCGGTAAAGAATCTGCCTGCCAATATAGGAGATGGGGGTTCGATCCTTGGGTCAGGAAGATCCCCTGAAGAAGGAAATGGCAACCCACACCAGTATTTTTGCTTGGAAAATCCCAGGAACAGAGGAGCCTGGCAGGGTACAGTCCATAGGGTTGCAAAGAATCAGACACGCCTTAGCAACTGGATACACATACACACACCATGGCCTTATAAATGTTTGGAAGACAGACATCCCAAACTATCAACAGTCAGTTCTGAGCAATGGAGTCAGAAAAAAAGGCAGGAAACTCTTCCTTGTTACTCTTGGTGATACCATATGACTGCCTGTTTAGCAACATTCATGTATTGCTTTTACAACCTGAAAACAAAAACTGAAATCCCAACAACATACACTTTTTCAAGGAAGATAGGATTATGTCTCTGATAAGAACATTACCACTACTCCCTCTCTCCCAAGAAAACAAATTACTTTGTTACATCACATTTCTAAACTAGTATCTGTGATGCTAGTATATATATTAAGTCAAAATGATACTAAGAGAGAGCCCTCTGAGCTCAAAACATGCTTGAACAGTATCGTTTGATGTAAGGTTAGAAGCCACCAGATCAGACTGTTCTTCAATGGATCATCATGCCCCCCCCCTTAAACTGCTGTTGTAAAATGCTATTTCTTGAAAGTACAGTCCTAAACTGTCCTAAAGTACAGTTTTAAAATTGAAAAGTGTGATACCCAAGACTGTTTCTCTGTGATCCTACAGTTATGAGAAGAGAAAGCATGGTCATGTGCGTTCTGATGTGTCCCTGCATCAACCGGGGCAAAGGATATATGCCCACGTGCTGAGCGGCTTTCTCTTGGTGGTGGGGTAGTTTTTTATTTATGTTCACTTTGCTTATTAATAGTTGCTAGCAACCCCTAAACAAGTATTAAACTTGATATGACCAGAAATAACCCCTACAGTTACTTGTATGTGGAGGACAATATAATTGCCTTCGTTTTTCTTAGATCGACCATGCAACCTGGCCAGTAGTGGACCCTTGCTACTCCCTTCCTCCCGTTGGGAAGTGGAGAAAGAAGTGTGTGGAAAGCGACTCGGGGGAAACAAAACAGCCCTCAGTCACACTGTGCGGTGTCTACTTCGCCCTGTGAGGGCAGATCCAATCTGCCCGCTCCTTCCAAATGGCCCAGAGGTTAGAAGGCTCTTACTGGGTTTGCACCATCACCCGAGTAACCATTAGCTGACCATCTCCCCAGACTCACTGCCCTTCATTTTTTTTTTAGCCATTTTTAGTGGAAAACCTCAGACGTACAAGGAAATGGAGAATATACATCCCCAGCTTCTACAGTTACGAACATTAGCACTTGGCCAATCTTATTTCACCTAGACCTTTCCTCAAACTGACTTCTTTTTTCCCCTCTTCTAAGAGTTAGCATCTTTATGTTCAACTGTATAAACTAAGGAAAAAAGTATTCTTTGCTGTGTCTTTTTAGTATCAAGCATGTACTGACTGCTGTAGCAAAATTACTTAAAGTCTTGTGCCCTGCTGTCAGCAAGACTGAACCCCTGGAGTGGACTTCACATACTTGCTATGTGGTCGCACTTCTCTGCCTCTGCATTTGCTTTCCTCTTGGCCTTTCTTCTTCCTGTCTCCCAGTTCTGCTCCGTTAAGGTTTTCTCAACTCCCCTACTCATAGCTGTCTCTTTCCTCTGGCCTCTCTTATGACCCTTTGCAATCTGCAAGCTGATTTCAGTCTCCTTAGTCAGATCATAATCTTTGTAATTTTCAAGTAAAGCAAGGTTTTCCTTATCTCCCTTTCTCCTGCACTACTTGGCTTAGTTGCTTGGTCGTGTCCAGCTGTTTGTGACCCCATGGACTGTAGCCCACCAGGCTCCTTTGTCCATGGGGATTCTCCAGGCAAGAATACTGGAGTGGGTAGCCTATCCCTTCTCCAGGGGATCTTCCCGACCCAGAAATCAAACCGGGGTCTCCTGCATTGCAGGTGGATTCTTTACCAACTGAGCTACCAGGGAAGCAATACTTTGTGCAGAGAAGATGCTCAAGAAATAGATGTTAAATTAATTTAACTCAAGTTCACTGGAGAACATTTTTTATTACAAGGCATGCCTGGCTTCCCTGTCCTTTGCTGTCTCCTGGAGCTTGCTCAAACTCATGTCCATTGAGTCAGAGATGCCATCCAACCATCTCATCCTCTGTCGCCCCCTTCTCTGGGATTGGCTATGGGGAACATGCAAAGCCAGGAAACTCTCTAAACATGACATGGATTTGGGAGCCAGACCAGATTCTCAAAGTCAGTGTGTATATATATCCTGATGCATAAAACTACCAAAGTGATAGCACTCTCCGAACCAAGCACTTCCCAGATTCCTCAGGCTCAGCTTTAGTCTTTGTTGTAGAAGTTGATCTACTCTCTGATGAATTGGCAAGGATGCTCTGTGTGAGTACTAGTGGGGTTCTCTCTCATTCCGTTTTTGTGACTTCAGAACTTTGGGGAAACCCATCTTTGAAGTGTGTGAATTGCCTGGGCTCTTGCTCAAACTGACACGGATGGAGCATTTCATTATTCTTCAGCCTCATCATCCTGTCATGATCGTGACTGTAAACTCACAAAGCAAAGTGCACATTGTGGCTTAGCTCATGAAGAAGGCATGTCGGGCTAAGAAAGTCTGCAGACTTACCAGGTTCGAACTTTTGGTTGTGAAGAGAAGTGAACAAATCATTGTGGACAACTGGTTACATGCGAGAGCTACACGGACATACTCAGGACAGTTCTGTAATAGTGGTGGGGTCAAGACCAGCACTTGCTATGTTATGGTGGGACTTCCCCAGCAGTCCAGTGGTTAGGACTCTGAGCTTCCACTACAAGCAGCATGGATCCCAT